CTCTAGAGTCACTTGACTCTATTGCTTTGTGTTCATGGATATGTAAAATGTCATGAAGAGAAACATATCACCTAAAGTTTCCACTACCTTCCAACAACAATTGGTGACAAAACCTTCAATATAGGTCCGTTGATAGGCCTTCCAGATTAAATTCATAGCAGCAGATCTAGTCATATCAGTGAAAACAGGAATAATTGAACTGAAATTAGTTATAGAGCTATAAATCAAATACCTCAATTCTGCATAAGAAGTTCAATGGAACTGTAAACAGGTTCTCAAAGGAAAAATCAAAATTGAAACTGACAAAAATAATTGTGAAAAGCTGGTGAATTTGCAGAGAAACCATTTTGTAGTATTAGAAGGTTTTTGGAATGTCAGGAGTTCTACCTCAGAGAAAACATCTTTCCACTAGTCTGTCTGTCTGTCTTTCATTCTTTCTTTCTTTCCTTCTTTCTTTTTTCTTCCTTTCTTTCTTTGCTTTCTTAGTTCTCTTAGTTTCTTAAATGTTTTATTTTTATTTCTATTTTTTGTTAATTTTATTGAGAAATAAATAGAAATGAGACAGTTTCAAAACAGATTATTAGGACAGTTTCAATAATCTATACATTGCATATTGTTGTCTTCTGAGTGGTTATTCATACTACAAGATGCAGACATGATATCTCGTCCACAAACACTACTAGTTCAAATCTTTGTATTCATTGAATTAAGAGAAAGTAGCTGTATATCTATCCTATTTTGGATATACATATACAAAATGGTCCTTCATTTGAATTTTCTTTTTTGTTTAATTTTGTCAGAGATGGGTACTCCAGTGTCATTTAAATGTTGTAGATGCGTGTATTTCTATGGATTATTTATTTATTTGTTTATTTGATTTAGGACAGGGTGGACACAGTGAACAGGGTCTCACTGTGTAGATCGGATTTGTAGTGATCCTCCTGTTGACAGCATCCCAAGTGCTGGGATCAAAGGTATGTGACACCACATCCAGTCTCTAGATGTTTTATTACTTTATAGTTGTTATTTAATAATTATAAATATTTCTGAGATATATTGTAATTTTTCATATCCTGTATACTGGATAGTGGTCAACCCATGACAATTTGCATAACCATCATTTTAAGCTTTTATAATTTCTTCATGGTGTATTCAAAATTCTCTTCCAACAATTTTTTTTCTAACAATTTTGAGATACAAAATGCATCAATGTGCCCAATCTCATCAAATCTTAGAACTTTCTACTAATTTGAGAAGCACAGTACAATTGAGCACAAAATAATCACACACACACACACATACACACACACACACACCACATACACACCCATGACCAAACAACTTGTATGCAATTTTGGACAGGAAACAGGTCTCTAGAAAATAAGTTTTATTCTACCACTCCTTCTCAACCAAAAAGCTTGTAGTAAACTTTATTGTATGTTATCATTTCTCCACTCATTTATACCTCTGCTATTCTTTAAGCATCTGTCTCTTCTTCTCAGCACCTCTGTTCTCAGGGGAAATCAATCCAACAACAGTTCCCACCTCAATATCAACTTCAGAACTATGGCTGATATGATCTAAGAATACTAGCACCCTTGTCACAGTATTTGATTTAGCAACTTAGACCTACCCCAGAAAAATCATAGATTTTCCTAATCATAGTAGTTGATAGGAAGTAGTTGTTCAGGAATTGGGGTCAATATGAATGAGAAGAATTTTGGAGTGGACCTTGGGGAAAAGAAAGAAAATTACTACCAGTGACTATGCCTTATCTGCTTCTGGACAACATAGTGCTTAGACATACCACAAGTAGTTTCTGTCATGAAAAAGTGCAGAATGAAGAAAATGTTTATGTACAGAGGAGACATAGAGGAGGTAAATGCAGAGAACCCCAAAAGATTTGAACAAGACTCCAAAGTTTCCAGCTGAAGTGGTGTGGAGATTGTTTGGTGCCACCACAGGCATGAATAGGAAAAGAGTATGAGATAGGTTTGAATAAGAGATCATTAACAGGATTTGGAGATATTGAGTATGAATAATTTGTAATTACCAAGCCAACTTAATTTGTCAGTTTAAGGGCTATATCAAAGTTGGGTAAATCCAATCTTGAAGCCAATCTTATTATCTATCCAGTTAAAGTTATACAAACCAATAGAAATCCATAACAGAAGCTCTTTGAATGTTTTTTATTCCTTGAATTCAAAGCATTTTAACTTACATGGTCCCATAAACAACCTCTTTCTCTTTAGCTACTTAAGTTACTTCTCAGCATTTAGGTGTCAAACAGAATTATGCATTCTATTATTGCCAACCAGGCACATTACAGTGGTCTCCATTTCGATTAAAAAAGCTTTATCACTGAAATTGAAGAGAATTAATACTTTCCTACCAACTGGACACTTGACATCCAACTGCAAAACTATACTTGCTTTAATACTTTCTGATGGGTTCTATAACACAATAACTCACACTAGGCAATTTTGAACAACATTGTTTTACTTCTTATGGTTTTACAGTATGGAAAATGAAAGAAAAAAGGGCAAGTGTATTTCTATATGATGAGGATTTCTTACTCCTTTTAAGATGTTTCCTTGTTGTTATTCAACATGAAAACAGGGCAAGAGGGTAATATTAAGACAGAAGATTAAACTCACCCTTTTATTGCATTATCAATCCCACCTCTGAGGGAGAAATTTGAATGGTCTAATCTCATCTCAAAGTTCCTACCTCTCAATATTGTTACAAAGGCTATCAAACTTTTTGTAATTTTTTTCTTTTTTACTATGTTTCAGTAATTTTATTGAGAAAGAAGTAGCAATGTGATAGTTTCAAAACCAGTTAGTAGTACAGTTATAATAATAAACAAATTATATATTGTATTTGTAGTAGTTATTCCTAGTACAAGGTAAAGACATAATATCTCATCTAAACACTTAGTTCAAAACCTTCTTCTCACTGAAGTAAGAGAAAGTAGCTGTATATTTATGCTATTATGTGTATACAGATATATATTTTTTCCACTACAAAATGTTATATTTATATCCCTTTTTTGTTTGCTTTTGTCAGAGATGGGTATTCCACTGCCATTCATACATTGTAGGTCCATGAATTCAGCAGAGTAATCCAACATAATCCAGCAATCTATAATAGTAGTGGGTTATCCTCAAGACAGGCAGTGTCAGAAGTTGTTGATTTGAGCCTCTCATAGCTCCGCATATTAATATGTCTTTACTTGTTATACCTTGATTTTATACTTTTCCACTGGATGGTTAAGACCAAGATAAAGCAAGACAAAAAATGTAAAATTTGTATCTGACAAAGTCAGTCAATTCCTGTCAGGACTTACCCTGAAACCCTGTACAGCAGTTTGTGGAGCTTTGTCAGTGTCAGCCATGTGGATGACTCATGACCATTGTTTGACCAATTTACTCTCTAAGAAAGTGTGAGAGAATGTTTTCTCTCCATGTGACTCTCCTTAGGCACACTCTACCTCGTTGATCACTTTCCTCTGTGTCCCCATAATCTCCTTCATCAGAAAATTTGGTACACCACTGAGTTGTAGGATGTTACAGTACAGGATCTCCTATGCCCTGAGTCCTCACTGTCCTTGAAAGACTAGGGCCAAAATGTTGGCTGTCCTTGCAGCTCTTCTTTTTCTCTAATTTTTGGTCTACAAACTTAAGTTGTTACCCATCCAGAAGAGAAACGTAAAGATATTATTTCCCTATAACATAGGCAGTTGAGCTAAACCTTACTATCTGTCTGAATATCAGACATCTTAGACATAACAACGAACAGGTATTTTCCATCAAGTATCTACATGTTAAGCTTTAAATACCTATAGAATGTGAAGGAAAAAATAAAAAATAGAGAAATATTTAAAGAAATAGGAATAAACAATTACATATTTTTACACAGAAATTTAGAAATCTAACCATATACAGTATTGTAGCTGGACCGTCCTATGATTTTTTTTTGTCTCTTGCTTTCGTTTATTACCCTCCCCCTTTTTTAAACAGACATTTACTGGAGGGACAGTATGGCAGTAATTTGTATGACGACAAGCAGTACTTCTTTAGAAGATCAGAATGACAGACATTCCAAACATGACCCTAGTAATACACATTGTTATCTTCAGTGAACTTGCTTAGTTCACAGGTATCAGCATATTTAGTTAGTCAGGGTGAAAATCCTACCAATTAACTGCTAGTTTCAAAAACCTGCTTAAGATTCTCAGGATCATTACCTTAACCATCTTGTGCATATAAATGTATGGCTTTTTCCCTGTCATGTTGTAAATTTTTCTTCATTTACCAAAACTCATGTTGAACTTAAATTGCCTTTGTAAATAAATTTCAACATGAGTTTCGGAAGAGATGAATGTTCAAATCATAACCACACTCTTACTGTTTCATTAAGATAATAAAATGTGGCACCTTTGATTTTACTCTTTACTAGT